GCGGGGCGCGGCGCGGGGGGAGCGGGGCGCGGGGACGGGCGCCGCTGCTGCCCGCCGGTTTCCGCACAGGTCGCGGCCCGTTACGCGGGGAGAGGCGCCCGCTGAGTGCGGGGCGCTGGGCGCCGTGGCATCGCGAGCAGCGCGGAGCCCTCGCGCGGGTTTCTGTGCGGCCGTGGAGGTCTCGGCCGCGCTCCCCCTGCAGCCCCGCAGGCTCCAGGCGCACGGAGCAGCAAGGAGCGGGATTGTCGGCCTGTGGGGCAGCCACCGAGCTGCGGGGCTGCCCGGAGAGGAGCTGTCTGAACCTCTGCTGCACCCAGCCACAGAACTGAGTCCTGGGTGCCACCAGTCCCCACAGCACATGGGGCCCACAGGCCAGCGCTGATCTGGGAACCTACAGCCAACACAAAATGCGTCACTGAGCTTTGCTGCTTGGCYGGTGTTGCCTAAGAGCATCTTGGGTATAACCTCTTGCAAAACTTTCTGGCCTTTCCCCTCCACTCTCCCTCTGCTGAGCACAAAGAGGAAAGGAACAGTTGCTGTTTCTCATGGGGACTGCCATGTTAAAATCATGCAGAAAAACAGTTCCTTCCTGTTGCTTTTGGTGTCTGTTACATGGTCAGGTCGGATGAGCACTCCTAGGCTTGTCCCTGAACAAGTGCTACTAATAATATATTTATAATGGGATGTACAGACTTAAACCCTACCCAGAGCATCTTCTCCAGGCACTTGCAGAGCTCTGCTAGGCAGCGCCTGGGTGAGGAGAGGGTCAGAGCAGCGTTTTGTGAGCTCCTTGGCTGGATGATGGTGAAGCTGCACAGCCCTATGGCTGCTGTTGCTCTGTCCACCTTCACTGACTTCTGCTTTTAAAACCTACCTCTTTCTTTTAAAACTAATCTTCCTTGCGTACTTGGAAGAGGCATCTTCGATTCTCAAGGAGAAACATGGCATTGCAAATAGAAATGGAAACTTCTCTTCAACCTCATTTTTAGCTCAAAAGACCTTCCTTTATGGGGAATGTGTGTATTAACTGTGTTTGCCACAGATGTGGAGAGCTGAATTGATCTGTAAAAGGGCAGAGAGACGGATTTCCCACCCTCCCCAAACAAGGTGTGCAAAACCTGATTGTTTTAAGCAGTGGTATCCGTAAGGAAGAATCAACCTGAGCACAAGTTCAACTTGTTAACAACAGCTCCAGCAGTTGCTCCTCCCCACCTAACCATCTTCATCTTTTTGTTGCTTGCAGCACTGCAGTGTGTTAAGCTCAGCCTTGGCTTTGTCCAGGTCAAACTAAGGTGCCTCGGTCATGGACCGGTGTATTTTGCTCTTCCTGAGTGATTGTTTTGGGCCCTCTAACAATTCCAGCTGATTTTCACCATGGAGTTAGAGCTCTTGGATGCCTTTGCAACACTCTGAGTTATGCCTGTGCTTGCAACCTTAGTTATGGGGCAATCAGTAATCTGACCTACCGAAATGTAATACTCGAGCTCAGTGAGTTACTCTAATTTATGAGCTTGTTTTTTAAGCAAAAACATTACTGTTTTCATTAAAGCAGGACAATTCTGTTTCTGGCCTTTTCAATTTTCTACCTTCTGATGGTAACTTTTCTATTTTGAAGCTTGCCTATAAATAAATTTTTGCAGCTAGAGCAATAGCGGGAAACACTTAATGGTCACAGCTCACTAATTTGGCCAATAGTGTAYATCAGTTCCCTGAGTGCAATGAGTGCACCAGCAAAAGGGGTAGTTTGTTACAGTTTCTGCTGCTGCTCTTTTCTCACACACCTGTGTCCCYTCTCAAACAACACTCCTGCTCTCTTAGCTCCACAGTACTTTCAATTAAAATCCATAGCAATGGTGCAATGTAGAAGGATTTGAGGAAAGTAATGGATTGTTCCTCCAGATTTCCTTTCAAATAGACTCTTGGATGGGCCAGCTCATTCTCTCCTAAGAGTTGCTATAATCCATTCCCACTGGAAAGCGGTGGGTTTGCTGCCAGGCAGCATATTTTCCATCAGAACATTTAATTAATGGGTAGTGCAGAGAGGTAGAGGCTGTGGTCTTTGGGCCGGAGAGAGGCAGGGAGGACAGCCAGGGTGCGTGCTGGGTGGCATTGCCGTGCCGTGCGTTCCACATTTAGCAGGGTGCTGGCTCAGCTGTGTAAGCAAAGCCCTCTGCCTATTCACCCCTCAGCACAGGGAATAGGAAGAGAGCCAAGATTGGAAGAAAAACTAGTCCAGGGGTGCTGCTGGCCTCCCTTTCCCCTGCCCCAAGTGTTTCCATGTACACGTGGGCAGCTCTAAGTTGCCAGAGCCATCCTTGCTGTGCTAAACAAGTCTGCCTCATAGCTGTGTTCTTCTGGCCAGTGGTTTGGCAAACAGGTCCTATTGCTGTGTCCTGAAGACAAAGTGGCTGCTGGGCTTTGGTGCAGGGACATGTTTGGTTTCTCACATGGAGAAAAAGTTATCACGCAGGATTGACCCAAGCCAAAACATGTGCTGTGTGACTTCGAGACTTCGACTGCTGCTGAGGAAGAGGTGTGTGTTTGTTTTGTTTTCTAGCATGGGAGAACATGAAGCAGATAGACTCTATCACTGGGGCATTAAACCATTCTCTGCTGTTCCAGTCAGCATCTCTTCCAGGAGATTTTCCACATCTACAACAAAATAGTAATAGARGCAGACCCTGGCTACACTGCTGAGATTTTAAAACTATCTTGACAAACTGAGAACACAGAATCATAGAATGGTTGAGGTTGGAGATATTCTGAAGAGAGTATATTCAGAATGGAGATATTCTGAATATCTTCTAAGGAAGGAGACTCCCAGACTCTCTGAGCAACCTGTTCCAGTGCTCAGTCATCTTGGCAGAAGTTTTCTCATGTTCAGACATAACTTCCTCTGTTTCAGTTTGTGCCCATTGATTCTCATCTGCTGAAAAGAGGCCATCCCCATCCTCTTTACACGCTACCTTCACATACACATTGTTAAGAATCCCCCCTTGGTCTTYTCCACACTGAAGACTCCTGGCTCTCTCAGCCTTTCCTCATCACAGGAGAGATGCTCCMGTTCCATCTTTGTGTCCCCCCTCTGCTGGACTGGCTCCAGTCCTTCTATCTCTTGTAYTAGGAAGCCCAGAGCTGGACGCAGTGCTCCACATATGGAAAACTGTGTATCCATTGGGGTACTCTTTGAGTATTACGGCATGGATCCAACCTTTACAGGACTGGGGTGCTTTGTGAGCAGCACTGTGCTGCAGTGACATGCTGCTCCCAAGGCCCTAGAAGATAAGGACAAAGATCCTCTTTGGACCAGTTTGTCAATTTAGCCTTGTAGGCAGAGAAGGAAATGGAGAAGTGAGACTGCAAGTGCTGTCTGGTCACAGCAAGTATGGGGAAGGAGGGAGGGTTGATCAATCCCCATGCCCAAGGGCTGCCAAACCAAAGTGATCTTGATTCACAGGAAGGCAGATGGGAGAACAAGGACACGGTGATATAACAGTGAGTCAAAGGACCCTACTACAAAGAGCATCTCAGCCCACAGAAAGTCTATTTCCAATTTCTTTAGGCTTTGCATCAGGATAGTAGGAAGGTTTAAGTTGCTATGATCACAGCTAGTTTTGAGGGGGTAGACACTTCTTTTGCAATCCATAGCTGCATAACTGTTTGGTTTATCTGCACAGAACTAATATATCTGGCCAATCATCATCTACTTCTATTGAGAGGAATTAATGTTGTTTCCTGTTTCATCTAACATTTAAGTTCACTCCCCTTCTAAAATAAGTAGTTTATCTTTTGTGGTTCTGTATTTCACCTCCTCCCCTGTGCTCTTAGACTTATTTCCTGTCCCTTCTCCTGTGYTTTCTGTTTCTCCCGCCAGCTCTCTACCCCAGGCTCCCCCAGCAAGCATGTCTACCTGCTAGCTCCTTTGAGCAGCCAGACACATTCCCTGAGACAAGCTAATCCCAGACAACTGCCCCAGCCCGTACGTGGATGCTGCTGCTAATTTGGCCCTAGTCCATTTTTAAGAAGGCTGGTGGAGGAGGCAGGAGTCTGAGGAGGGAGTTCCTCTTTTGTTGCTSTCTGCTATGCTGACAGACCTGTGGTATCACTTGCACATTTTCTCATGAGAGAAGCTGTTTTAACTCTTCCTTCACTTCAAAGACATTAGTTTTCTTGTCTCTTGAGTTTCTATGATCATTTTATTAAGTAAGGGAGTGACTTAATCTCTATTTTAATCAATCCCTAATTTAGATTGCTGCATTATGCATGCATCTTCTCTCTGAACTTCTTCTTTCATTGTCTTTTGCAGACATCCTGGCTGCGCTTCAGTGGTGGGTGACTGAATTCAGCCTTCCCCGCATCGCGCTGGTGATAGGGATGTGACGTTTAATGAGCACCTGTGAAGTCCTGTAGCAGGTAAGTGCTCCAGGGGTCATTCTCCTTTCCCTAATTTGGAAAGCCTGTCACAAGGAGATCTTGAGCCTTGCAGCAAAAATGCCAGAAGGAAAGTGGTGTGGTTYGTGTTTAGTAACCTTTGTGTTGTTCCTGGCAGTAAGGGTTAGACAGCGCTTGTGAAACCYACCTGATGTAGCAATAGTGAGGTTTATTTTGAAAATGGCTTCAGTTTTTAACTTCAGTGTTAAAACCTTCTCTCTTCTGTCATTCAATCGAGAATTGCTCTGTGTGGTACCTTTGGGGGTGAGGACAGCAGAGGATGATGCCAGAGAGCAAACAGGTCTAAGCTTTGCTGACAGCAGCCACTCCTGCATTTACTGGCCTGCARGAGACCTTGCCAAAGGTATTTGAGTGCTAGAGCCCCTTTTTTGGATGCTGGGGAAACCTAACCCCTGCCTAGACAACCTCGGCGTTGTGAGGGATGAGAGCAGAGGCAAGAGCTCTGCTGGAGTGGAAGTCAGGTAGCTGCTTTTACGATTTGGCCATGTGTAGGGTATTAATGGTCCAGATTAAGTTTGTATCAGGAACTCTGGGAAACCCACTGAAAGCAGAGCTGTCTGGTGAACCCCAGACCTTTGGTAATGCTGCATCGCAAGTGTGTGACAGCAGGCTGGAGGGTAGTGGTGCTAGGAAGGGAAGCAATGGAGCTTGTAGTAAAGGGAGCAGCTASAGTAGGTAGAAGGTCTTCCTATGGCTCTGAGCACCTGCTATTTCATGTGTTTCCTGTAATTTCTTGTTTTTTTTTCTTGTCTGTGTTGTATTTTTTTTTTTTTTTCTGGATCTGTTCCTATATGCTGAGTGGTCTGTCCCCTTCTTCCCATCCCCGTTACCTCAAATGGCTATAACTAGTCATTGCTCTGCACTAACAAAGCTCTGCTCCAAAACATTCCCTGGCCTGCTCTTCTAACCTGCCCAGATGCAAGCTGTGACAGCTGGCCCCTTGCCACCCTCCTGTGTGTAAATGAGGCTCTCTTTCTTTCCTCTACCATCTTTCGTTACTGTCCCTTTTCTAGAGGCAGGTTTTTCTGGCTGATCCAGCACATTATCTGTATCAGTGATATTTGCCTCAGGGCAGAGATGCTTTTTCAGCATATACAGTGGAAATATCTGATGCACCCCACTGCAATGTATGTGGCTTGGAAAAAACAGCTTCATTTGGCGAGGCTGAGAGCCACAGAAGCCAACTGTTTCAGAATTTAAGCCAGCTTAGGCACTGTCTCTGATTCATATGGTTATGTCAGTTGCCTGGCAAAGAAAAGTATACCGTTCTTTCCCTTTCCAACCCATGGTGTAGAGCACGTAGAGAAGTTTCTTGTGCCCAAACAGAAATGGGACATGTGCTAGCTGTGAGACATCAGCTGAACCAGCTGTGTAGCCAGCTGCATCTTTCCCAGGGTTGTTCTAAGGGGTGGTGGTGCCATCACTTGAAAACATACAGTTTGTAGACTGAAAAAAAAAAATGTCTTCAGCTCAAAATCCCAGAGCATTTGATAGTGTTTGGTGACCACCTGCTTAGGAGTGGGAGCAGAAAGTTCCCAGGCTGCCTGTCGGGGAAGAAGCAGCTCCTTAAGACAAAATACCCTGTGTATGTGCCAGAACCTCATCAGGGCTTGTTCCTCTCTTTGGAAAAAGCACTTGCAGTGATTATGAGAAATTCCTATAGGGAAAGGTAGTTAAGCAGTAGTCTAGACTATCTTGTGAAGCAGAGATGGTGTTTGCTGGAAGCTTTACAGAACAAAGTAGACAAAAATTTGCCAGAAATCAGCCAGGCAGCGTAGGCCCTGGCTGTAGGCAGGGAAAGAGACTGTGTTGCTTTTGAGAGCTCTTTTAGTTTTTAAGCTTTTTTAAGTTAGTATAGACCAGAGATGGGGCTGAGGAGACATTCTCAAGCCTCCTATGAAATGTATTGTTTACAATATAGTGTTTCCCAGGAGAGCTTATATTTGTGTGTGTATCTGCATCCAAATATATGTATGTTGTTTATTTAAGAGTGAATGCTTACCTCCTAAATCACTAGCTCTTGACTGCCACTGGATTCAGGTGATCTCACTGGTATTTTCTGTAGTACTTCTGAAGCTGCAAATTGAAATTCATTCATAACAATTAAAGGAGATATTTATTTCTCTGTGAAAGCTAGTAAAGGCAAGGATGATCTAGGTCTCTACTTTCTAGGTAGCTGAAATCAGACAGCAAACCCTCCTCTGGCATGAGGAGACAATGATAGGGGATATTCACTTCAGGTGCAAGTATCTGTAACACATCATGATGTAAATTAATCTGACACTGTAGATGATTTAAGGACAGAGAGCTCTACTGCAGGCCTACCTGCAGGGTTAGCTATACTCAGTCTAAGTATCAAGGCCATCCTCATCTGCAGTCAAAGTTGAAGGGCAGTCTGAAGGCCCTGGCTGAAGCCCATCCTACCTCCTTGTTGAGCCATAGGCACATCACACTTGGAACTAGCACCAGTTGAGAATTGTGACACAGAAGGAGTTGTGGGAGGAAATACTGAATGAGGGGGCTATGTCTGCATCGTGAGCCATCTAAAATGTGTTCTTAGCTCAGCCTTGCATTTGCTGCTTTCCTAGAAGCTTTCAGATGGAGCTTGGAGCTGTCACTGCTCCTAAGTGGAGGCCTGAGACTGCTCTAGCAAAGGGGATTTTTGTGCGCATGGGCCAGGGCCCCACAGCTGTGACTCACAGTTCCCACTGCACAGTAAATTAGCCTTCAAGTGTGGCAAAGAGGCTGTCCCTTGGCTTTCAAATAAAGCCTTCTTTGTTGTGCCTGTGTTTTAAAGGAAGCAAGCATTTGTGCTCACCATGTTCACATGTCCCAAATGAAAACCACGTGGCTTCACAGCCTTCATGCGTGTTTGATACCTTGGCTACAACAGTGAATATTGYGTCACTTTTATCCCATGAAGGTTTTCTCAGAGCAGTTCTTTTCCAGGATTCAGCTCATAAGACTGTGCAGGGAAAGGAAGTACTTAAAGATGGCTTATTTTGTTAGGACTGAGCAAAGAACACATGAAATTATTGTATAGCTTTTCAGTGCATGTAGCAATGGGCTGGTTTTGGAGTTGCACTCTAGGGTGAAAATACCTCAGATACTGWGAGGATGTTTCATGGAAATACTGCACAAACGTGAGGCAGTTTGCTTACTTGTATGGCTTTGCTTTTCTCCTCTGGATTGTATTGGTTCAAACTAGTTTTAAAAAGCAGGGTTAGCCAGCAATGCTCTGCAGCCAGCATATTTGTGTGTGCGAGTGTTTCTTGGCTTGCTAGTGATAAACGTAAAAACTGACTGGGCTTACCGTTTCTGAAAGCAGTCATGTTATTTCTTCTGCACATTTGTAGAGGCAACAGGTGGCAAAATAAAAGGGTCTATTTTTTCCTGTATTCACTGTGTTGTGTGGAGGGCCTCTGCTTAGGTGAGGACAGTCATCCCAGCGAGAGCACAGGAAGCAGGACATTGCCCTAAGAGCATGTTCTCTCTGCAGCATTTTCAGGGATTTTCAGAACTATTCAGTATTTGTTTTTCTTTCTTTCTTTATTGGAGAACTACAGCATCTCTTCCATAAAAGCTAGGATTTTAGGCAATGGAATAAAGCAGGACTTTTCATTTTGTCGTGATGCTTTTGCTATAATAGCCRGCTTTTTAAAATACTTTTCCTCCCGAACTGCTTGTATGCCAACAGCTGTAACTAGTTTTCATTGTTACATCATTGTTACAACAGCTGTAACAATCTGATATTATAAAACCTCCATGTCCGAGGTGATGTTTTTGAGCCCCATTTAACTAGATAGGTGGCTGTGCAGGTCCCCTGACGTAGCTGTGCTACTTTGTCACTGATCCACAACTACAGAGGAGCAGCAGATCTTGAATCAACCGAATTCCCAGCACACAATGACCATTTCTTTTCGTTCTGCTTTGGTTCAGCATCTCAAAGCAAAAGTATGTGGCAACTCGAGACTTTCCACTGCCTCTAGTACATAAATGCTCATTGTTAATGACTGAAATGAGACCTTGTAACTACATGTAAGACATAAAGACAAGTCACATCTGAGCTGTGCCACATGCGGATCCACATTTATGGGATGTTCTAGAATGATATATCCCTTCTGGGAAAGCAGCTTTCTAATGACACTTCCTCCAACCCGTAGAATAATGAAGCAGTTATTTGAATGGATGTACAAGATACAGTTAATCTGGATGGGCAGGCATACAGAGACATGCTTTGATTAACCTTAGGATAGGTAGAAACAGAGTAACTGCTGACTCATTTAACTGTGCTGGGTAGATTTTTCCCACCCTTTTGAGAATAAACTGAGGAAAAGGAGAGTCGATTTAAGGTAGCATCTTTGCAATTGAACCGTTTTGTGTATTCTCACAACCCCCCATACTTCCTTTCCTGTGAGGTGACTGTTTCAGATCAAAGAGCCACAGCTGCCTACATGTGCAAAGGTAAAAGCTACATGACAGAAGCAGGAGGGGTGTGTGAGCTGGGGAGCGTGTGCTGTGACACTGCTCCAAACTTTGCAATTGATACTAACAGGCCTTCAGTAAAGCAATGAGGGGGTTATTGTCATCTGTGTCCATCTGCACCGATGAAGGATTGTGCAAGGCAGTGACCAGCTATTGTCCCATTTGCTTATAGGGGAGGGAACTCAGACTGGTGGGCCAATTTTTTTTTTTTTTTTTTTTTTTTTTTTTTGGTGGGACTTTCTTTTTCCTCCTAAAACACAAAAGTTCAGTCTGCTGCAATTGTTCTCCTCACAATTAAATGGCAGAATTTATTTGGCTTGAAAAGCCAAGCTGTTCCTGGCTGGGATCCTACCACAACAGCTAAGTACGTGGGTGGGAGCCACATGCACACACTTCCTACCTCTCCCCTCATGCCTCCCTCCCAGCCAGCAGCACATTTCAGTCGGTAAAAACCCTTCTCAGCCCTAGTGGGGGCA